CGCGAAAAACTCCTTCCTTCACCCATATATTTTTAATGCAAGCAAATGCATTTTTGTGGAGATCTGGAAACGTTTGCATTTTTACTTTGATTGTATCCATTGGCTGACCCACATAAACACAAGCGACTCCACCTGACCATATTTTCCGTTAGTGGAAAATATCATTTTGAACTTACCAATTAGGCCGCTTATCATCCCTAAAAAACCGTCAACCGCAGCAGAATCCATGTAATTGACGTAAGCAAAATTAATGAAAGTCAAGTTTAAATTGTTTGAGTATGCAACTCTTAATACTGCTAAGTGGACGTCGGAATTATGCCGAGCGGAAATATGCTACGAACTGCGCATGTTTAAAGTACGTGCACTAGCCATTGGAGGTCACCACTCGTCTCTGTGGCTCAAGGTCACATGGGGAATATTTCAACGTTTTATCAAGGCGTTGACAATAATAGATTCCTGAGTAAGCAATCGGCGGTGTATCAATATAGTGTTTACTGCAGTACACTTTTTTGGTAGCAAACCTTACGCTTACAACTGTGGGTTCCGAGGTTTCGCCGTTATTTCAAACTTTGTGTTATCCTGGATTTAGGCGATTTGTTGAACTATGTTGACCTTTATATTTCCTGTCCCATTTCGGCAAGTTCTGTATAGGCCTTACCAAAGTTGATTGTTACACTGCTCATGAAAGCTTGCATATATTTTGGTATTATATGTATTGTATACACGGTTCTGTGTATACAGTGTAGGTAACCCAAAACTTGGTCTCAGATCATGTATACTCATTTGGATACTGTCGATGTGAAATCATTCGGCAGTCCATCTTTTTCTAAGAAAATACTGTGCCTTTGTCTGCAGAGTGAATCGGTTGACCTTTTATTTCCCTCATCTCCTACAGTAGCTTTCTCCAAGACGGGACCAACGGGTATTTAGGAGACCGTAGCCAAATTACCTCACCCGCTTGCATTTTCCTCGTCGGGTGGGGTTTTGCTCATCACATTCTGCTATCCGCCTCAGCCTTTAGGAAAGCGATTCCATCCCAAATTCCCCTCTCAGGCAAGTAATCGGGTCATCATGACGCTTTGATCTTCACCCCATTGCATCAGGTTTCTCTTTTAGCCAACGGGATGTCTTGCCGTCACTCACATTTAGAGTTTTACTTTAGGTCTGCAGCAACCTAGCATTGCCGAGCGCATTGTAATGATACTTCGTACAAATCTGATAAGCTTGTTTTATGATTGTACTTCAATATACTTTAGACCGACAGATATAGCCTTGACAAACCACATTTGCGAAAATCTAGATGGAAACGGCGACATATTTGCATAGAGCTTGGGGTACATTATATCAGTCACTGACGTCAAGTAAATATATGATAACACAGCACGCATGTTGAAGGCTTTTTTTAGATGCGTCAGTCCTTTCTGACAGGAAAACCGGCGTTGGCAGTTTGTTACATTCCTCAATCACGCAGTCTGACAAGCAGTTTGTATTCAATTTGTATTGGTGATTCAAGCAGTCTGACTTCTGTTTGTATTCAATTTGTATTGGTGATTCTAACAGTTCGTAATCCGTGCCAGTTGGCAAAGTCAACTCCACTATACAAAGGAGTAGCAGGACACCGTCTACAAATAACAGGCCCATCATCTTGACATGCATTCTCTGCAAAGTTATGGAGAGGATCATGATGAGTGGATTGATGTAATTCCTGGAAGTTCATTACTTGCAATCGAACTGCCAACAATGAATCCGGAAAGAAAGATCCTGCGGGATGAACTTACTGCAATATCTCTAGGGCTGGGCCCGAGTCATCGACGACAGGCAAGCGGCCCACATAACTTTCATTGACCTCCACAAGCCGTACGACACTGTGCCACACCAGAGACTATTACACAAGATGAAAAAATAGGGATCTGCTTCAAATTCCTCAAATGGATGGAAAACTTTCTTGTGGGTCGACAG